GTTACACTAGCAGCCAAATTAAAAAATAAAATTAAAAACAACATCAACACCAATAAGTTCAAAAATAACGAAATACTAAACCAAGCAGGTGTCATATACGAAATAAAATGCACATGTAAGAACCCAGCAATATACATTGGCGAAACAGGAAGACAACTCGGTACAAGAATTAAAGAACATAAAGCAGCAATCAGACTTAATTACACCCAATCACCGTGGACAAATCACTGTAAAGAATTTGGATGCACAATAAACGAAAAAAGTATAAAAATTATTCATAAAGAAAAAGATATTTATCTAAGAAAATTCAAAGAGCATTTCGAAATCATAAATAAAAAGAAAACCATAAACCTAAACGATGGAATGGAGGTAGACGACGTGTGGGAGGAAATGGGAGGAGCTAAAGGGAAAGGAAAAAGAGGGGGAAACGGTGTAAAAATGCCTTAGGGGAAATAACATCAACACTGGGCAGATGTCGATCTAAAACTTAAACAGGTTAGTTAACCGTTGTATAACTATTGTAGTAAGTTACAGATGTAATAATTAATCTTACCAAATTTATAGAAATGAAAAAATCCTGAAGAGGGGTGCAAATTAAAGAAAATATTGCACCCGAAATGCATAGAAAATAAAGAATACGAAAAAAAAGCTTTGTCTCTGATTAACTGCGGTCCAGGCACAAAAACGGGGGTTATCTAGGTACAATTAACCCATAAAGTTTTTTTCATCAATTTTTTGAGGAAATATATTTGAAAAATTGATCTTTTAAAAGTAATATAAAGTAAACCGCACCAGGGATATATACATATCTATTACTTATAAAGTAACTTTAACAAATAAAAATTATGTTAAGAACTTACTCAATGAACTTCAAAACTAAATACATTTCTGACCAAAATAATAAACAAACTTAACTACTTAGTGATGATATACAGTGGTGCCTCGTATAACGTACGCCTCGAATAACGGACGCTGCGAACAACGGACTTTCCATTCGGCAGTTACGTGAGGCGAACAATGTCTTTCTGCGAACAAATGCAAATGATGTTTCCACTCTTTTGCCATTGCCAATGACAATCTGTTATTTTTACAATATATTATTATTATTAGAATATATTATTAGTATATCTGAAATACAGAGCTCCCGTTGGGATTCGGCTTGCTTCCTTGTTTATTACGTACATCACCTCAGTGTATGGTATTTACATTTATTCAAGTGTTGTGCAAATCATGGCTTCTAAAAAAGCATAAAGGTGATTTCAATTGAAACAAAGCAAGACATCGTCAGAAGGAATGAAAGTTGACAAAAACTTCCCTGTCAAATGGGGAGAGGTTCAGCAGTTTACCAACACTCATTATCCAAACAGAGCTGAGGCCAACAGGATCAATCATCTCTACAATGATACCCTTGCCCGTCATTTCCGACAGGTGCTGAAGAAGAGAGAGAAACAGACCACCTTGGACATGTTTTTCAAGAAGCCAACGGGCAAAAAACAAAGGATGGAACAAGAGATGACCCTGCAAGCTTCCGTAGCCTCTTCTGAATCTGACTCCGATTAAAAAACAATAAAAAGAGACCTGCTGCAATGTGTAAAAAGTCTATCTGTATGAATGTGTGAAGAAAGTGTTCCTCTACCTCCTCCTCACAACATCTGACTACCCGGCATAATTGGTGACTGCTCCAGTTTCATTTTTTTATGGTACAGTAGGTTAATTTATGCTGTGGAACGAATTATATGTTTTAACATCTATTTCTATGGGAAAATGCGTTTCGTATAACGGACTTTTCACTTAACGGACGTGCACCTGGAACGGATTAATTACTGTACGTTATACGAAGCACCACTGTAATTATTTTATTACACTGATGATAACTGTTTAAAATGTATCACAACATAATTTTTTAATAATAATGTTTCTGTAATTTTAATCACAGCAACATTACTTTTTTATTTTAAATATTGTAGAAATAGAAATGCCAATTCTCATTAAATATTAAAATATGAGAATGTTAATTAGAAAGAACAAATCACAAAATTACAAAACTTTTTAGTTTCTAAAACAAATTGTAAAATTATTTATTTATATCATGATGATAATATACATCTTATATTTGTTTACAAAAATATTTACATTAAACAGATTTATATAATTTTATTCTATAAAAGTATAAAATTCTGCTTAAAAATATGATAAAATTATGTAATATTTAAAAACTTTATTATACAGATACATTGTATTGAAAATTATTATGTAAATCTTTCTCTAATAAAGCCACAAAATTTTCAGATGCTTTATAAAAAATTTAAACTTTTTTCTTCTTACAAAACAACAAAATATTAAATTGAAACATTTAAAAATGTTTGCATTTAATAGATATATAAATATATATTTTATAAATGTATTTGTAAAATGTTATTATAAACTATGTAAACTATATATTAACAATTTAACAGTTTAGTTGAAATGTAAAAGTTTTATAAATCCTTTACATAACATTTTCATATATGGAATGTCATTCCAACATATACAATTATTAATAGAAATATTAAAAATGTTTTCATATAAAAATCTTTAATATGAAATATATGATTTTATAATGTTTATTAACATTAATTCAATGTTTAATAAGCATTATATATAAAGTTTGGCAATTAATGAAATTAAAAGTCATTTGATCTACATTATTTTAAACCATTTGCTCTACAATATCATTAGAAACTAGATGAGAATCACTCTGACTATGAAAGCCACTGGAAGTGTTTCCAGAATTACTATGAGATGATGACGAACTAAATATTTCAGAAAATTTTGTTAACCATCTACGCCTGTGAACTGGAGAAACACTTTTAGAAACAGTATTAGTTGCTGAAGAAACTGAAAGAGATGATGTGGATGCTGCCAGAGAGGATGAAGTCATAGTGCTTGGTTGTGGACTTATACTTCTCGATCTACTTCGATTAGGTAGAGTCAACATTGGAAGACTCTGATGAGTGAAATTTGGATAGCATGTCTGAGAAGCCAAATATAAAGGGTGGCAGAAAGTAGGAGATGGTAATGCAACGTTGTCATTAAGTGTTCCTTTGATTGAAATCAATAGTTTCTTCCAAATCCAATCATAAACATCAGGCTTAGTAAAATCAACTTTGGAAACATATTTCAATAATGTAGGCATAGGACAAGGCTTGTACATCAATGGTATCAATTTACGTTGACGTTGAGCTAAACAAAAAAAATTTTTATAAATTGAAATATATACAGTAAGTGCAGCTTATATTATTATTAACAAAAAAACAAAAATGCCAATCACTTTATCTGTGATTTAGCTTAATACAGAAAGGTTTAAAATCTTAGTAAATATTCCTTAAAAAATTCTAGTAGTTTGTTTACATATTCAAAATTTTATTTTCTTTTCCAATTTAAAAAAGAATTGCATTCTATATTGTGTGTTTATTCTACAATAAAAAATTGGATCTGGCTTGTGTACAGTGTTTCTTGCTCTTAAATACTTTGTTCTAGTATTATTTCTTGTTTTCATTCTAATTTTCATATGAAACATGAGAAATTTGAAATTGGAATAACAAATGACTAAAATCAGTTTTCTGTTAAAGATGTAAAGTAAAAAATTTTTAGCTGATTACTCTTTACTAAATTTATAATCAATTATCTAAAAGCAATTTCATTTATAAACAAATGCCCCTCACACTCATAAAGTGAGTGAGTGAGTGTGTGAGAGAGAGAGAGAGAGAGAGAGAGAGAGAGGTCGNGTTCATTTTTTCTTGTTATAAATAAATTAACAATATTCATTTTCAATAAAAATTGTACAATTATACTTATTAGAAAATTAATAACTAATTGTTTACTTTATAAATACTAACAGTAAGTATACATTTGTTTTTTCCTTTAGGCGAATGAAATATGCCTGGAATTAAGCTTTTTTGAATTGAAAGGACATACTTTACTTTCTCAAAATGAAGTAAGAGTTTTTATTTTTTGCAATTTTACTTCGTGCTAATGTAAAATCGGAATAATGGTTTGGTTTTATTTGATGAGATACGGCAACGCAACGCGTAGACGATCTGTCAAGGGGAGGTGTCTCACAGAAAAACTTTCTGTGGGGAAAGTTGCGCTATTTACATGTTGTTATGCACGCGAAGAAAACCCAGAAAACTGCTTGCGGCCAGCACGTTAGTGTGGCGCGAATCCGTCTCCATCTAGCACAGCGTTATTCAAACTATGGGTCGGGACCCAATATTGGGTTGCGTTAAAATTTTAATGGGTCGCAAAATGGTACTACTTTTCGCAGAAATATTTATAATACTGAAATATTCTCTAAGAATTAGGAACGATACATGAATCTGTTAAGTACTGAAAATTTTTAACAACATTTTCCTTATAATTATTAGAGTTTGTGCAAAACATATTTTACATTATATTTACCAGGTGCTGTAATTATAAACACATAACGTTAGATGGCGTTTGCGCATCCAAACCCTTTATGTTGTAAAAATATAAGAAACATGGACGCAGCTGAAGTTTCGCTTTGTTTTTTCCTGGATATATCGGAAATTATGTCGTCTCATTAACAATTAAATAACCAACAGATGATAACTAAAAGAAAGATTGCAAACACACTTACCGAAGCAAAAACAATATGGCCGACAAACACCAAGCGCGTTCTTATGTGGGCGTGTGTAACATTGTGGGATGGTGATGCATTGCCGTCAATAAAGGACCAAATATGATTGGTTTCGCAATTTTATAAAATAAATTTCTAACGTGAGACTTTTCTTATGCTTATACTGGTAAATTATGCATAAAATTATAATGGACGTTTATATAATGTCAAATACGTCGTGCACAAACTTTATATTATATAATGTGTGTATATGAAATTGATTTCTCTTTTCTATTTTGAATAACATCAAAATAGATATTTTATGTAAGGTTTTAGTCATAAATCCATTTAAGTTGCAATGGTTTTGAAAATATTTCCTTATTTATTCAAACTTTTAAGTTTATTGTCATACATAGCAATAAATTATAAAAGATAAATAACGGATACATTTTAGCACAAGATCAATAATTTTTTTTGTATACACAAAATGACAAAATCTTCTTACAATCTGAAAAATACATTTTAAAAAACGAGTTCATTAAGTTTATAAAAAAAAAAAACTTGAAATATTTTTCAGAATAAAATAGACTCCTGAATAATTCTGAAACAGTCTGTTTTACAATCGTCAGTCTTACATTTGTTTAATAGTTAAATTTCAATAATAAAAACTGAAATTAAATTAAGTTATTTTTTGGATAAGATAATTAATTAACTATTAACAATATAAATTTTCTTTCCGTCTGTTCATCCGAGATAAAACTATTTTTAAAAAATAGACATTAAAATCAATCAAATAAAACTTGATTTAATTTTTTCTCCAATGTCTTTATTGTCATAAATGCATTTATATATAACAATCCTCATCAGTATCACTTTAACAATTGAAGTTTCGAGTTTCCAACAAACGAATGTCATTTTGGATTAACACCATCTATCCACTAAATGGCGTAAATACAAATGAGGATTGTTAAATAGAAAAGCATTTATCATAGTAAAGATACTGGAAAAAAAAATCAAGTTTTATCTGATTAATTTTAATGTTTATGCTTAAAAAAATAGTTTTATTTCGGATGAACAGTTGGAAAGAAAACTTGTATTTTTAACAGTTAATTATCTTATTCAATATGTAACAACTGACTGAGGCCTTTTATAAAGCTTTTAAGTTTTAATCTTATTATACTTTTTAGTGTTTTAAGTTATTTGTTACAAATTAAAATTGGCCCAAACCGCTCTTAATAGAAATGTACTGAATGCTACATCTCACACGTATAAATTATCAATAATGCATAGTTTTATTTCGTTACTAGCTGCAAGGACCCGCTTCGCTGGGTTTTTATTTGTGGGCAAAAAGTAACGATAGTGAAGATTAAGATAATTACATTATAGCCAATCTTACCCGTTTTCACAGAATGCAAGAATTAGGTCCCCCGTTTCCAGACTAATTAGAGAATTTTTACGTCCAGTCAAACGAACTATTTTCAATTTGATCAATTTTCTGGAATGTTTACAATCGTTCTATAATCGAACCAATTCGAATTTAAATTCGAATTCGAATACAAATTCGAATTTAAAACGGTTCGAACATTTTTAAAATCTTCGAAGTCAACCACTTTTAGCCCCATATCTCACGCATCCTTATAGCTATCGAGACGCAACCACCATAGTGCACGAATGGAGACTTGGGGCTACTACCGCATACAAACACTATTCATGTGCGATGTGTAGTTTTGGCTAAAAAGTGAAATATAGGGGCACACACGTCCATTTATATATATATAGATATAATATACAGTGACTAGTTTACCAGGATTTTTTAAAAATGTTTTATTATGAACATTTGGGTGGCGGAACCATTACAAATATATTGGGTCCGATGAGCAAAAAGTTTGAGAAACGCTGATTTAGCATGTCAGTGGTTCTATATTCTCTACCGGGAGAATATGGAACCATTGACATGCTAGTTCATAATGAACATATAAAATATATTATAAATTGTTATAGTTTGAGTATTGAAAATTTCAATATACGAGAATACCCAAATATAAAGATTATTGCATAAATGAAGCGTCCATTTGGAAAATCTAAAATCTAAACAGAAAATAAATGTATTTTGTTGTTTTCTTCTACCTAGATGTTTCCATATTGGTTATATAGATACATAAGGAATTTAAATGCTTAAGAGTTATTTTAATTCGTCCTGGGAACAATCCCAGGACGAGTTAAAAAATTTATTAGAAGACACGACCGCATTCTTAAGTTACGGATCGACTGTACCTGGAACTTGTGTTTTTCTTCTTCCTCCTCTTTTTTCTACTTAAATCTTTTAGTATTTACCTTTACGCATCTAGTTTTTGTACTAATATTTATTTTTTATTTCGTATTTATTAACAATTTTGGCTATTCGGATAGTGTATTAGTGATATGTGAATTAATTTTAAAGCAGCTTTAATTCTAAACGTATCTTTTTTACATAACATTATTCTTAAAATTATTAATGACTTCATAAAAAAAATACCATGCACATAGCTTATATTTATCACCGATTTTTTGTGAGACTTTTGTGGCAAGTTTAAGCTATGTATTTCATATGTGAAGGAAAGGGTTCAATTTTAAAGTGAACAAAGTCCACACAAACTATTTTAGAGATAAAATAATAATTCTTAAATAACTCTATCTGAAAAGGAAATCAAATACACTTATAGGTACTCTACTATGGGAGACTAATTATACATAATAGACGAACGGATGGCCAAGCGGTCAAGGTGATAGCCTACCGCTCTGTGGAATCCGGACCGGTCAAGGAATCCCTAGGAATTTTTCGAGGGGTGGTCCGTTCGGATATGTCGGGCCCTGTCCCTCACCACCCGGTCGCCCCATTGTGGGCCTGGCCGAACTCATAATGGGCCCTTTTAGTGCCCACAGGGCGAAAAGAGTATTAAAAAAATGATACATAATATATAATCTTTGCAAGCATAAAAATTACAAATACCTTAAATACAAAGTAGGTAATAAAAGAAAGTTTATAATTTGGGTCTGTTCACTTTTAGAACTGAACTCTCCACTTGTAGAACAGATATTGATTCATTGTAGCAGTTTTTCCCAATGTGTGATAAGCGTACCCCCGGGATATGCGGTCTTCAAGGGGTATAATTTTCGGCTACGCACCGCTGACGCTTAGAATCGTTATTAAGAGATTAAGAGAAATATTGAAGTAACGAATTATTTTAATGTATATTCCCAAAAAATTATATATTTAGTATGAATTCTCCTACTCAAGTTGTGTTTTAGTACTGCATTTATGTAGTTTGCAAGTTTCTTTTGTATGCGGATGTCAAAACTCTGGAAAATTGCAGGGCTGTGGAATCGTATAAAAATCTACCGACTCCGATTCCGTACAGGGGCCCGGGAATTCTAATGTCATCACATGACTGCAGAATAAAAGCTCCAATAAATAAGAGTTGTAATAAAAATAGAACGTAGAAACTTTTATTCCAAAGCTAAAATACACCTCTAAGTAATGACATAGTCAATATATAAATATGCATTCGATAATTTTTACTTTCCCGGCCGTTATATACGGGGGGTGCAAAAGTAGGTATACAGTTGAGAATCTGAGAAATACAAATGTTTGGTGTTCATTATTATTATGTTTATTATCTTTTATTAGTTCGTATTCCTTATTTGTGATTTTGATTTGTACATAAAAATAAATGTTTTTTCTTCCTATTTTCTCCCTGTATGTATTTTTTCCATACTTACAACTGTATACCTACTTTTGCACCCCTACTGTATAATAGAGGGAAAGTGTAACGATCGGTCAAAAAATGATCCCATTCAGTTTTACATTTTTGGACTCAGGACTTCTTGAAATGTCGAGATGTGCAAAAGATTCGGGTTTTTTTTTTCTGTATGTATGGATGTTAGACTGTGTATGGGGACTCGATTTTGTTTACACTGTTTGAAGCTTAATTAATTAATAGCGAGGTTTCGGCTGAAGTTTTCATCTCTAAAACGTGAACATCGAATGTTGAACGCCGCTATCGACGTTCACCTTTTAGAGATGAAAACTTCGGCCGCAACCTCGCTAATAACTTCTGTGGTTTTTCAATCGGAGTCGAATGGTTTAACACAAGAGTTATTAAACTTCAAAGTGGTTGAACTAAATCGTACCCCCCACACATTCTAACATCCGTGTATACAGAAAAAAAATCCGAATGTTTTTGAACTTTTCTACGTTTCGAGGTTTCCAAGAGATTAAAATCTGGGGAGTGATTTTTTTGACTGATCGTCATTTTTTTTGTTATAGACCTACACTGTATAACAGCCGGGATAGTAATAGTGACGACGATTCTGATTATCTTTAAAAATTCAAAATAAAACGATTTTAAAAAAATTAAACATTAAAATTTAACACATCTACTTAATATATAAATTCACATTTATTGTCTTGTTTGATGATGGCAATTGTATTTGGTAAGCGTGTAATAGTAAATAAATTCGACCACAAATTGGTTTAATAAAAATATATATTACATAATATACTTGTATATTAAGTACAGTACAACAAGTATGCGCATGGTAATTAAAAAGGTTGCTTATTTTTGATTAATTTATTATTTCCATCTCTGTTATAAACTGAATTACTTCTTTAAAAAGAATCGCTTCTATTAAGTCAGCATTCACGGAAGCTCTTAAATCAGATTTAATAATTTTAAGAGCTGAAAATAAACGCTCTACTGAAACTGGTTGGTGGCAATGCTGTATCTTGAATAATGTCTGGATAGTGCAATATCGCCGTTTTAACATCCAAATGTGAAGAAAGGTCAATGCGATTTATTTTTTCCAGTGCATTGTAAAAATCATCTTTAAATTTTGTAAGATTTCTTCCTGTCTGTGCTCATATTAAAACTCAAGCTTAATTTTGAGGGTAAAGACGAGTTTTATAAAAAAAAAATTGCGAACGCTAATAAAGAGTAAAAGATTCATTGTCGACCACACTTGGAGATATGATACTGACCCCTTCTATGTCTCTACCCTGTCGGCCTTTAATTAATTAAGAACTAAAATTTAATAGTATTAATGTCCTTTATACACATGCTACCGTGCCAAATTTCGTTTCTTGAACTTTACCCATTCTGAGATATTGTTCAATATCTCAGGAGAATAAAGAAATTAAACAAATTAGACGCCAACACACACAGACAGACGAATTTTCCCCTTTATTTGACATTTTTTGGGTTCGGAAGGTCTCAAAACGTGTAAATTTGCAAAATACTCGACGGTCAAATTTGACACCATTCCAATACTTTTCTGTTTTATATACATAAGTTGGGAAAGTAAAAAGGAGTCGGAGTCGGCGGATTTTTGACGACCCTGACTCCGACCCCACAGCCCTGGAAAATTCAGAAAATTATGTCACCAACATAAATAATTTAATTTTTCAAATTTTCAGATTATTTCGTTCATATCTACTTGTAATTTATTAAGACCTAAAGTGACTGCATCTAACTATTTTGAAATTGATCGTCCATTATTTGTAACTGTAAGTATTATATCTATATGCTATTATTTGTAAATTATTGAAAAATTTATTCCAACTTTTATTTATTTCAGTTATGTAGTACTGTAATAACGTATGTAATAATTTTAATCCAGAACGAATTGTAACGAATTTGACATATGATCAGCTGAACGATCATGCAACGAATAAAGTAATTTATGAAATCTTCCTTAATTCATATTGATTGTTTTTGTCTCTTGAATTTTACAACTATATAATTATGATTGTTCATATTAGTGCAAAACAAGTTAATATTAAAACAAAATGGATAAAATTCTGAAAATAACTATCAAACTATCATGTTTATAGTTTGAAAGGGAAGAGGAAAAATAACAATCTCATTTTATCTGAATCAAACAAACTATACACATTATAATGAAAATACATTTATGAACAATGGTTATTAATAACATTCAGCAGTGAATTTTATTTGAAGTAAATTTTTAAAGTAACTTTATATTACTTTTAAAAGATCAATTTTTCAAATATATTTCCTCAAAAAATTGATGAAAAAAACTTTATGGGTTAATTGTACCTAGATAACCCCCGTTTTTGTGCCTGGACCGCAGTTAATCAGAGACAAAGCTTTTTTTTCTNATAAATTGAAATATATACAGTAAGTGCAGCTTATATTATTATTAACAAAAAAACAAAAATGCCAATCACTTTATCTGTGATTTAGCTTAATACAGAAAGGTTTAAAATCTTAGTAAATATTCCTTAAAAAATTCTAGTAGTTTGTTTACATATTCAAAATTTTATTTTCTTTTCCAATTTAAAAAAGAATTGCATTCTATATTGTGTGTTTATTCTACAATAAAAAATTGGATCTGGCTTGTGTACAGTGTTTCTTGCTCTTAAATACTTTGTTCTAGTATTATTTCTTGTTTTCATTCTAATTTTCATATGAAACATGAGAAATTTGAAATTGGAATAACAAATGACTAAAATCAGTTTTCTGTTAAAGATGTAAAGTAAAAAATTTTTAGCTGATTACTCTTTACTAAATTTATAATCAATTATCTAAAAGCAATTTCATTTATAAACAAATGCCCCTCACACTCATAAAGTGAGTGAGTGAGTGTGTGAGAGAGAGAGAGAGAGAGAGAGAGAGAGAGAGAGGTTGTTGTTGTAAGAATGCCGATTGGGGGAGATTTTATTCCCTACCATTGGGATGCTCTAGGGCAGTGTTTCTCAACGGGGGCGATATCGTCCCATGTGGGCATTTTTCAATGTTGAGGGGGCGATTGGTAACAATTTATATTTTGGGGGGTGAAAAACAATTTTCTCGGTGATATAGTAAAACATTATATTAAGAATAACTAGATATTTTATTCGTTATATTGTACAATAATTAAACAAACAACATTATACTAGTCACTAGTCTATTCAATGCAGTACGAATTTGGCATTAGCCTTGGCACTGGGCATCGGAATTTTGAAGTAAAGGGGGCGATACTATGTTGAAGGGGGCAATGATTTATTAGAGTTTGAGAAACACTGGTCTAGGGTCTAAGTGTATGTGGGTGGAGGTTTTATGAGGTAGCAAAAGACAAGTGTTTTACAGAGGCAAACCGTTTATTCTTGATCGAAATTTCTTACATATTTTTAGAAAAAAGTCCTTCGATTCAAAACTTGAAGATGTGTTCGGTCCTATTAATTAAATGACTGATGTTTCTCTTTGGTAAAGCTGGAGAGGAGCCCCGGGGTTATGAAGTGTTAAAGTTCAGAGGTGAACAGTCACAAGATAGTAGCGATCGGAAGCATCAAGGGAGGACGATGAACACAACGGGTGTCTGGCAAAAGTCTTAGTAGAAGCCCTGTTGTCCTTGGAATTGGTGTTTTTATAAGTTTTTTGAGATCGACTTTTTGCTAATTGGACAGACTTTACATCATCGTTTTCTAATTGGTCTTCCACCAGTCTCCAAGTGTAAATGGGGCTTCATATAGTTTGCGGGAAAGGTTGGCTGAAGATGGTTTATCTGACACCATCTTTTAGACTCGTTTGCGTCGTTTAGTTGTGATTGCATTTAATTGTTGACTATGACACCTACGCTCATTTTGATATTTTTTTCTAGTTTTGTTTTGCTTTCTAAACTGCGTCTTTAACTTTAATATTTTAAATTTTCTTTTTCTATATCTAAAATTTTGTTTTTCCTTCTACTCTTTTTGAGTGCTGATGTCAAAGTCCAGTTTCGCCAATTCGACACTTATATAATTTGTTTTCTTGATGGTTTATCTTAACAAATTTTTACATTTCTTTCTTTTTTGGGGGGCTATTTCCGGGGCCTCACATTGTCAGACACTTTTCATGTTAGTGCACTTTGACTAATTAGGTTAAGCCTTAAAATTAATTAATAATTAAATAATAACAAAAATCAAAGTAATATTGAGCAGATAAGGACACAGTACATATATGAAACTATTTCTATAGAGAATAATGGAGAATAATAATTACTTATACAGTAGAGCATCGATTATCCAAATGCTGATCAACTGAAATGTGGTTAACTGAAAGCGTTCCAGCCAGACTGTGTTGTGCTGATAGAAATATTAAAAATGTTTTCATATAAAAATCTTTAATATGAAATATATGATTTTATAATGTTTATTAACATTAATTCAATGTTTAATAAGCATTATATATAAAGTTTGGCAATTAATGAAATTAAAAGTCATTTGATCTACATTATTTTAAACCATTTGCTCTACAATATCATTAGAAACTAGATGAGAATCACTCTGACTATGAAAGCCACTGGAAGTGTTTCCAGAATTACTATGAGATGATGACGAACTAAATATTTCAGAAAATTTTGTTAACCATCTACGCCTGTGAACTGGAGAAACACTTTTAGAAACAGTATTAGTTGCTGAAGAAACTGAAAGAGATGATGTGGATGCTGCCAGAGAGGATGAAGTCATAGTGCTTGGTTGTGGACTTATACTTCTCGATCTACTTCGATTAGGTAGAGTCAACATTGGAAGACTCTGATGAGTGAAATTTGGATAGCATGTCTGAGAAGCCAAATATAAAGGGTGGCAGAAAGTAGGAGATGGTAATGCAACGTTGTCATTAAGTGTTCCTTTGATTGAAATCAATAGTTTCTTCCAAATCCAATCATAAACATCAGGCTTAGTAAAATCAACTTTGGAAACATATTTCAATAATGTAGGCATAGGACAAGGCTTGTACATCAATGGTATCAATTTACGTTGACGTTGAGCTAAACAAAAAAAATTTTTATAAATTGAAATATATACAGTAAGTGCAGCTTATATTATTATTAACAAAAAAACAAAAATGCCAATCACTTTATCTGTGATTTAGCTTAATACAGAAAGGTTTAAAATCTTAGTAAATATTCCTTAAAAAATTCTAGTAGTTTGTTTACATATTCAAAANTATATGCGAAAAAATATATTAACCTATGCCATGTTGAAATTCATTCAAATCTGGTATGTCCTTAAGTACTCTCTCATGGTCGTGCCAGTGCTGCCAGCTAAAACATGCACACCAACAAAAATAATATTGGAGTAGCCCAAGACACAGCCAAAGATTGCAGCACCACAGCACTAGTGAAAATTTAAATTTGCCGACGGGAAAGCTTTCGGTTAATTGATGTTTCGGTTGATTGACATTCAGATAATTGATGCTCTACTGTACTTTATTTGCACTTATGATTATTTATAATATTCTTACAGAGTAACTAATACATAATGTAATGTTGAAAATTAAATTTCATTTAAGATAATAACTGAACATTCATCAAACATAAGACTCAACTTACAAAATGAATTACTTACCAACTGCTAATCCAGTTGCATATCTTGTTTGAAATTTACATTCTGCACTGTTTAAAAATTCAGGAGAAAGGATAATCAACATTCTACTGCATCTAATAAAAGCAAGAAATTATAATGATTAAAGATCTTTTTAAAATTTTTACTAAATACCAAATCTTAATTAGAATTAAATTAAAACATTAGTAAAATAAAAATGTTTACATTGACAAGCAAAGTTCAAAACTATATTTATATTCTGAGATTTTAAATTGTCTAAATATATTTTTTTCCTTTATGCCATACTTTAATTATTTAGTATCAGAATTGGAATACTTATTTTCAGATGTAAAATATTTTCAAATTTTTGTTACTATGTCATTGCTAATAGAATACTTTAACTAAACATCTTTCTAATTTAAACCTTTGCAAAGAATAGTTTTCAGCATTATAAAATTTTTTATAATAATCTTTCTCAAGAGTCTGGTCTTCCCTTTTTTTAATGCTTAAAAATAGATAATAATGTCAGATGTTATCTGTTTTCTATTTGCTGCATATTTCTGATTGTGCAATACTTTAATTATTATGTCTTGTAGGTTCAACAGCTAGATATATGTAATTTCTATCAAATATTTCATTGTGTAGAATTTTCAACACAAGTATTATCAATATTTGAGGAAAAAAAAAANAAACAGAGCTGAGGCCAACAGGATCAATCATCTCTACAATGATACCCTTGCCCGTCATTTCCGACAGGTGCTGAAGAAGAGAGAGAAACAGACCACCTTGGACATGTTTTTCAAGAAGCCAACGGGCAAAAAACAAAGGATGGAACAAGAGATGACCCTGCAAGCTTCCGTAGCCTCTTCTGAATCTGACTCCGATTAAAAAACAATAAAAAGAGACCTGCTGCAATGTGTAAAAAGTCTATCTGTATGAATGTGTGAAGAAAGTGTTCCTCTACCTCCTCCTCACAACATCTGACTACCCGGCATAATTGGTGACTGCTCCAGTTTCATTTTTTTATGGTACAGTAGGTTAATTTATGCTGTGGAACGAATTATATGTTTTAACATCTATTTCTATGGGAAAATGCGTTTCGTATAACGGACTTTTCACTTAACGGACGTGCACCTGGAACGGATTAATTACTGTACGTTATACGAAGCACCACTGTAATTATTTTATTACACTGATGATAACTGTTTAAAATGTATCACAACATAATTTTTTAATAATAATGTTTCTGTAATTTTAATCACAGCAACATTACTTTTTTATTTTAAATATTGTAGAAATAGAAATGCCAATTCTCATTAAATATTAAAATATGAGAATGTTAATTAGAAAGAACAAATCACAAAATTACAAAACTTTTTAGTTTCTAAAACAAATTGTAAAATTATTTATTTATATCATGATGATAATATACATCTTATATTTGTTTACAAAAATATTTACATTAAACAGATTTATATAATTTTATTCTATAAAAGTATAAAATTCTGCTTAAAAATATGATAAAATTATGTAATATTTAAAAACTTTATTATACAGATACATTGTATTGAAAATTATTATGTAAATCTTTCTCTAATAAAGCCACAAAATTTTCAGATGCTTTATAAAAAATTTAAACTTTTTTCTTCTTACAAAACAACAAAATATTAAATTGAAACATTTAAAAATGTTTGCATTTAATAGATATATAAATATATATTTTATAAATGTATTTGTAAAATGTTATTATAAACTATGTAAACTATATATTAACAATTTAACAGTTTAGTTGAAATGTAAAAGTTTTATAAATCCTTTACATAACATTTTCATATATGGAATGTCATTCCAACATATACAATTATTAATAGAAATATTAAAAATGTTTTCATATAAAAATCTTTAATATGAAATATATGATTTTATAATGTTTATTAACATTAATTCAATGTTTAATAAGCATTATATATAAAGTTTGGCAATTAATGAAATTAAAAGTCATTTGATCTACATTATTTTAAACCATTTGCTCTACAATATCATTAGAAACTAGATGAGAATCACTCTGACTATGAAAGCCACTGGAAGTGTTTCCAGAATTACTATGAGATGATGACGAACTAAATATTTCAGAAAATTTTGTTAACCATCTACGCCTGTGAACTGGAGAAACACTTTTAGAAACAGTATTAGTTGCTGAAGAAACTGAAAGAGATGATGTGGATGCTGCCAGAGAGGATGAAGTCATAGTGCTTGGTTGTGGACTTATACTTCTCGATCTACTTCGATTAGGTAGAGTCAACATTGGAAGACTCTGATGAGTGAAATTTGGATAGCATGTCTGAGAAGCCAAATATAAAGGGTGGCAGAAAGTAGGAGATGGTAATGCAACGTTGTCATTAAGTGTTCCTTTGATTGAAATCAATAGTTTCTTCCAAATCCAATCATAAACATCAGGCTTAGTAAAATCAACTTTGGAAACATATTTCAATAATGTAGGCATAGGACAAGGCTTGTACATCAATGGTATCAATTTACGTTGACGTTGAGCTAAACAAAAAAAATTTTTATAAATTGAAATATATACAGTAAGTGCAGCTTATATTATTATTAACAAAAAAACAAAAATGCCAATCACTTTATCTGTGATTTAGCTTAATACAGAAAGGTTTAAAATCTTAGTAAATATTCCTTAAAAAATTCTAGTAGTTTGTTTACATATTCAAAATTTTATTTTCTTTTCCAATTTAAAAAAGAATTGCATTCTATATTGTGTGTTTATTCTACAATAAAAAATTGGATCTGGCTTGTGTACAGTGTTTCTTGCTCTTAAATACTTTGTTCTAGTATTATTTCTTGTTTTCATTCTAATTTTCATATGAAACATGAGAAATTTGAAATTGGAATAACAAATGACTAAAATCAGTTTTCTGTTAAAGATGTAAAGTAAAAAATTTTTAGCTGATTACTCTTTACTAAATTTATAATCAATTATCTAAAAGCAATTTCATTTATAAACAAATGCCCCTCACACTCATAAAGTGAGTGAGTGAGTGTGTGAGAGAGAGAGAGAGAGAGAGAGAGAGAGAGAGAGGTTGTTGTTGTAAGAATGCCGATTGGGGGAGATTTTATTCCCTACCATTGGGATGCTCTAGGGCAGTGTTTCTCAACGGGGGCGATATCGTCCCATGTGGGCATTTTTCAATGTTGAGGGGGCGATTGGTAACAATTTATATTTTGGGGGCGAAAAACAATTTTCTCGGTGATATAGTAAAACATTATATTAAGAATAACTAGATATTTTATTCGTTATATTGTACAATAATTAAACAAACAACATTATACTAGTCACTAGTCTATTCAATGCAGTACGAATTTGGCATTAGCCTTGGCACTGGGCATCGGAATTTTGAAGTAAAGGGGGCGATACTATGTTGAAGGGGGCAATGATTTATTAGAGTTTGAGAAACACTGGTCTAGGGTCTAAGTGTATGTGGGTGGAGGTTTTATGAGGTAGCAAAAGACAAGTGTTTTACAGAGGCAAACCGTTTATTCTTGATCGAAATTTCTTACATATTTTTAGAAAAAAGTCCTTCGATTCAAAACTTGAAGATGTGTTCGGTCCTATTAATTAAATGACTGATGTTTCTCTTTGGTAAAGCTGGAGAGGAGCCCCGGGGTTATGAAGTGTTAAAGTTCAGAGGTGAACAGTCACAAGATAGTAGCGATCGGAAGCATCAAGGGAGGACGATGAACACAACGGGTGTCTGGCAAAAGTCTTAGTAGAAGCCCTGTTGTCCTTGGAATTGGTGTTTTTATAAGTTTTTTGAGATCGACTTTTTGCTAATTGGACAGACTTTACATCATCGTTTTCTAATTGGTCTTCCACCAGTCTCCAAGTGTAAATGGGGCTTCATATAGTTTGCGGGAAAGGTTGGCTGAAGATGGTTTATCTGACACCATCTTTTAGACTCGTTTGCGTCGTTTAGTTGTGATTGCATTTAATTGTTGACTATGACACCTACGCTCATTTTGATATTTTTTTCTAGTTTTGTTTTGCTTTCTAAACTGCGTCTTTAACTTTAATATTTTAAATTTTCTTTTTCTATATCTAAAATTTTGTTTTTCCTTCTACTCTTTTTGAGTGCTGATGTCAAAGTCCAGTTTCGCCAATTCGACACTTATATAATTTGTTTTCTTGATGGTTTATCTTAACAAATTTTTACATTTCTTTCTTTTTTGGGGGGCTATTTCCGGGGCCTCACATTGTCAGACACTTTTCATGTTAGTGCACTTTGACTAATTAGGTTAAGCCTTAAAATTAATTAATAATTAAATAATAACAAAAATCAAAGTAATATTGAGCAGATAAGGACACAGTACATATATGAAACTATTTCTATAGAGAATAATGGAGAATAATAATTACTTATACAGTAGAGCATCGATTATCCAAATGCTGATCAACTGAAATGTGGTTAACTGAAAGCGTTCCAGCCAGACTGTGTCGTGCTGAATCAAAGTTTTTGATACTAGATTAACTTCTAAAGTATAAATTTTTTTGGTTTTATATTTTTCAATATATTTATTTGTTTGTACAAAATAAAGAAATAATTTTTAACGATACAATAGCCATAATTATTATTATAAAAATTTTTGTAAGGCTTAACAGCGATGAAAATTCAACGTGAAGCGACATGCAACAGAGAAAAATTTAAACATGGGATATATTAATATACTATATTAATAATGTATTTTTTCATACATAATCGGTTATCCAAAAAATTGATTTTCTGAACAACCCCAGTCCCCAATTGATTCAGATAATCGATGCTCTACTGTATAAGTAAATAAAATGGGAAATGATAATATTTCAGTGAAATATGGAAAAAATATATTAAGAAATTTGATTTTATTTTAAGGAAAAAATGTTTAAGATGAATTTCCCATCAACTTTTGTAATCCNCCCGATAATATTTGGCATGTAGAATTTTCAACACAAGTATTATCAATATTTGAGGAAAAAAAAAAAGGAAATTTGAAATTAACTGTAATCCACAAATTGCAAAAATAAATAAATAATACAAAAAATAAGCTGTTTACTTATTAGGGCTAGGAACTTTTCATTAAAAATTAAATAATTAAAGCAGATAATTAGATTATAGAATTTGATCTGAAGTTATTAGTTTGACCATATTGTGCTAATATTAATAATTAAAGATTAATTTTGAATTTAATTAATTAATTTTACCTAGATCTCTGATCAATCTTCACTTCAAGATTTATATATTAAGAAATGGCAACCTAACTGCTTACTTTTAGGCCAAATTATATAATTTAATAATCTAATTAACTGCATAGTTAGAACCAGTAAATAATCCAGTTGTCTGGGTCTATTTAATGGAAAATTCAAACTATAGTTTGTATGTAAAATTTAAAAAAAATGATGACGACAAACTAAACACTGACGATGTTTATTAATGGTAATCCATTAAAAAATTATCTAAAAAATAACTTTTTATATGAAATACTATTAATAAAAAATCATTTTTCTACCCAATGAAAGCCACAATAATACAAAATTTATATTATGCTTTTAGTTAAAAAGAAAAATTATAATCAAAATATTAAATAAAACTGTTATTTATAAGAACAACTTTTTTCAAATTAATGGTAATTTCACATTTTTCATATTTACTCTATACTTCTTTTCTTGTTTTTATTCAATTTAGTTAGATTCCTGGACATAAAAAAGCATTTTATAATCTGCTTTATTTTGATTAAATAATTAAAAGGACTAGAGAATTGTAAAATACATATTTTATAGCATTTATAGAATTATAGAAAGGATGAACGTAATGTAATCTATTGAAAAGTTAAGTATGACAATCTGAACATTGAATATAAATTCGCATATGTTTTTATCAGTTTCATGCCCTTCTAATGAAGTTATTGGAAAACATTTGTTTTCAAATAAAGATTGACAATAACATACTAATATAACAACAAGCTTTTATGAAAATTCAACAAATCTAAGAGAAAAGTCTATGAGTCTTACATGAGCAATATAAAGATAATGCATATTATAAACATTAATTTTTAAAATTTTTATTGTGTTTTTTAAATTACTTTAAATAAATAATCAAAAGTGTGATGAGTAAGAAGGTTCATGAATGAAGTAAAGTTTCAGTTTAGAGCATGACAATTGTAAATACATTTAATGGTGCTCTCCAAAAGATTCATTCTCTCTCTCTTTTCCAGTATATAACAATAAGAAATATTCATTATAAAACAATCATGTTATGATTACAGAATAACCACATTTGAATGTCCTTAATTTTAAATGTTTCTTAGAAAAAATAAAACTCAAAAATTTTTTGCTGCTTTAGTTGATAAACAAAACTCAAATGGGGTTTAGAAAATCAGTATATTTCTACCTGTATTCTCTTGATGGAACCTAATGCCTATATCTAATACAAAATTACTCAGAATTTAATTATTAACAGTAGCAAAAAAGTAGCCCAAATTAATACAGCAATCGTCTAACTTATGATGAATTATTTTGCTGAAAAATTAAGCTGTAAATGGGCAATTTGAAGGATTGTGTGTTATTCAAGAATGTCTAGGTATACTTTTCATTTAATAGTAGGATCATTAAAAATGATCTGATTACCATAAATACAACTAATCCAATAATTAACAACAAGCGATGGCAGCCTAACTGCCTACCTCCTGTCAAATTACTTAGTAATTATTTTAATAATTAATAAGCATAATAAAGGAATACAACTGTTCCTTTGAGATCTGATTACCATGTCTTTCATAAGAGCACATCATATAAAACTTGACAACAACCAAAATATTTTCACTCTTACTGGATTGCAATATCTGCAATAGATAACTTAAAGCTATACATCAACCAATGCTGAATATTATCAAGCTAGAAACAACTATAATTTATGAGACAATTTGGTACTAGAGTTAGGCATTAGGTGACATCTCTTGATAAATTTAATAATTATAATATTAATTAAATAATTTAGAACTACTGGAAGAAAAGAATTGTCCCAATTGGAGCAGGACTCAAACTTGCAACTCCTTACTATGCAGATGCGTTGACAATTACGCCACCTGGACCTCTGGTCTGGTCTCCTCTTCCAGTATACATATAAGCTTATGTTACTTATAACCATTGATAGTTATTATAATGCTGGCTGGGGATGCATCCAGCACCTACGTCCTGTAAACATCTCCTAAGGCACTCAACTGGCCATCGCAAACTCTGGCAAGGCGTATATACATAAACATCATCACTAAACGCAATATATTTTAAAGTTATACATCAGTGTTTCTCAATGGGGGCGATATTGCCCCTATGTGGGTGTTTTTTCATGTTGAGGTGGCGATTAGTAACAATTTATATTTTGGGGGCAAAAAACAATTTTCTGGGCGATATAGTAAAACATTATATTAAGAATAATTAGATATTTTATTTGTTATATTGTACAATAATTAAACAAATAACATTACACTAGTCACNTGGGGGCAAAAAACAATTTTCTGGGCGATATAGTAAAACATTATATTAAGAATAATTAGATATTTTATTTGTTATATTGTACAATAATTAAACAAATAACATTATACTAGTCACTAGTCCAAGAGTGGCCAACAGTTTTTGCCCCCGGGCCGAATTGGAAAGAAAACTTTTTCTACGGACTGAACCAGAGGCTGCCCTAGGAAAATTTGAGGTGGTGCAAGATCTCATTGTGGTGTTACCCCATAGAGACTAAATTGTACATAGAGATTACAGATACATTTTTCACATTATCATGCTTTATCAATATTCTATGCTGTACTTAAGAGATTTGTAATAGAGGGTTAACTCTAAAACACAGTGAGTTCTTGACCTTTTTTTTTTTTTAGGCGTCAGAAATTTTCATCAAGCTATTTGGACTTGAGTAGCTAATATTGAAAGATTAATCGCGGGCCACATAAATTCACTAGACAGGCCATATGTTGGCCATGCCTGCACTAGTCTATTCAATGCAATACGAATTTGGTGTTAGCCTTGGCCCTCAGCATCGGAATTTTGAAGTGAAGGGGGTGATACTACATAACAATTTTATTGAAGGGGGCGACGATTTGTTAGAGGTTGAGAAACACTGCTATACATCAACCAATGCCAAATATTATTGGGCTAGAAATGGCTTTTTATAGCTATTTCTAGCCCGATAATATTTGGCATTAGTTGGTGTATAGCTTTAAAATATATTGGGTTTAGTGATGATATTTGTTTAGAGATTACTTTAAAAAATAATTAAAATCTGGGACATTCAAGTGTCCCTGATTTTGTTGTCTCTGATTATATTTAACTCTAAAACAAATAATTTCACAACTTAATAAAGTTCAAAATGATAAATGTCAATTAATCAAATTTTCTCTGAAACAATTTATACATTAATTCTATTTTTTTTTTAATCTCCATAAACAATTACATTTTCATCTTATAGGAAAATGCAATGTCCCTAGATTTAAAATGAAACAAATAATGATAAACAAGATAAAAAAATTACGTATTCATTTTAATTTAAACAGTATTTCCAGAATTACCATTAAAACAACAAATTTCATAATGTTTACACAGCTTCAATCACTAGATAATATAGATTTAACTAGCTAAAATTTTTTTATTACATTAAATTGAGTATCATTTTCATAGGTAAGTGCATATAAGAAAATAATACACTATAATTTTTATTACATTTTTAAAAAATAATCCTTGCTTTGATGATATAATGCTGAAAAACTCAATAATTATTTATGGACTTTTTCATTTCCAATTTATATCAAAATCTACACTCTTTGTCACTTAATCTATCTTTCACTTTCATGAAGGTTGCTGAATCCTTTTTTGACTTTTGAGATACCATCATTTTAATGTATCATTATGATTTCAATATTCAATGATATATATGAGGATAAAGTTTTTCACAACAACAAAACAGTTATCTGAGATATGTAATCTAATCATATAATTTTTTCTTTTCTTTTTTTAACCTTCAAGTATTCTTGCAATGCAGAATGTACAGTACAGTTCCAAATGATTGTAACATTCACAATCAATTAGAGCCGTCTTTATAATTGCTTGAATTAATAAATTAATAAATAAAAGATTTAAAGATACTTTGTTAATCTGTCAAATGGCACATCAATTTTTGTGTCAATTAATGGTTAAAGTTCAAAAGCAGTGAAAATATCAAACCATTTATTATAAAAGCATATTAAATCAAATATCTGCTAAACTTTTGTAGTACAAACAATATACCAACTAAAGTAAGAAAATATATAAAGATAAAAAATGGAGGCAAATAGAAAAAAAACCTCTTATCCTGTACCAAAATCTTATCTTCTAAAAAAAAAGCTCCATTCAAAGTCCTGAATTATTTATTTTTTTAAATATGCATCATATTTATAAAAAAAATCTGTCAATGCAATTTGAACAATTTTATATGAAAGTGAAATATGATAATAATAGGATTCATTTCTTGTAATTGCTGTTCTAACTTAAATAATTATATATTTAACTTAATAACTTAAAAATTTTATAAACCTTTCTTCAATTATCCGTACAAGTGCTTCATATATATCAACACCAGCCAAAAGATTACGTTCTTTGATACACAATTTTATTCCAATTTCAGGACTTTCTAAGTACTCAGCTAGTTTATAAACAAAATCTGAATCTTCTTCAGCAAAACAGACATAAGCATCAAAATATGCCACTTCAGCTCCATTGGCTGCAAATTAAAAATTATTATATATTCATATTATCATTAATAATACAATAAACTATTTATAAGCAAAATATCATAAAATATTACTGCTTTGGCGAATATAAACATCATCTCTTGTTAAAACATCCTCATCTTCATACTCTGATATATATCTTGAACCTGAAGATACTAAAATTAAAAATAAATTTAATTATTAATTAATATCAGCTAACTAAATTAGTATGACGTTAATGTGTATTACTCATTTAATATTTTTTGAATTTAAAATTAAAAATATACTAACCTTCAGCTACTTGGACTGGTGCTTCATGTGATCTTTGTCTCCTCATCACAAAAGATTTCACATCACGTTCTAATAAAGTAAAATCAGATAATAAATTTACACAATTTTGCTTAACAACATATAAAATAATTAATCCAAATAAAATACTTTTTCGATACACATCCTTGATCTCAATGCAATTTACTAATTTAATTAATTAATTTTTAAACATTTATTCATAATATAAAATCTTCATCTGGTGTTATTTGCAGTAGTCTTTAACAACAGCTAGCATTTAATTGAAATAAGAAATTTTAACAATTTAAACTACTAGTGCTATACGGATAGCAAATGATGATTAATCACTATATACCCAGGGTGGCCAAGCTCCTTGATAATCCGAGCCATTTTTCAAAATTTGAAATTTTTTGCGAGCCGCAATTAAATACGTATTAAAAAGGTATGCAAAAAATTCCAGATTACAAAATATATCCGTAGCAAGAGTGATACAAATTGTTTCCTCCAGAGCACAATGTCAACTGTCCATTGCAATGACAGTTTACAAATTCAAAATTGGTCTGGAGTCGGTTGATAACGGACGATTACGCCACTGTTTATGTTTGTTCGCGCAGTTTTTGATGAGTCATATCATTCTTAACTTGGACGGAAATGAAATTTGTTACAACGTCGCACTTAGTCTTTTATAGTTGTTGTTAGTAATTTAAAAGACATTTTGAAACACATACGGAACGATAATAATTTTTAAAAATATAATAACACAAAAATGAAAAGGGAACTCGGGTACATTTATCGGGAGCCATAAATAATCCTTCAAAGAGCTGCATGTGGCTCGCGAGCTGCAGGTTGGCCACCCCTGCTATATACTATAAATGTATATCATTCAGACACTTATTCATCAGGTGTACAACATAGGAGAGAAAAATAAAATTGTTCATTAGAATCACAATAAAATACAGTGGTACCTTGTGCTTCAAACACTTCAGAGTTTGAATGCTACACGACAACAAATCTGACAAAATTTGCTTTGTCAAATGATGCTTCAAAGTTTGAATTGGGAACACGGTGAAAAAATGTGCTCAAAGCATAAATCAATTTGTTCTGAACCAAGTAATCTCTTGCTCTGGCTCTTGCATTACAATCATATGCTTTTGGTTCTTTTTTTGCTTTATTTTTGTTGTGTTTTGTTGTAAATCTCACGTGTGTTAAGTTTCACAGCTGTTATAATTAAATCACATATCCAGTTATCACAGCTGTTAAAAAATACACAAAAACTTTCTGCTCCACCCAATATAACCTTTACTTTTTAAAGTTAACACTGGGCTAGTGCAGTGGGGATTTTCGACACTCCCAACGGTTTAAAAGTTGCACTATTCATAGATTTCGCAAGAAATATTTGTTTCCTCTTCAGTAGCTTCATGATTTTATGTATAGAGCATGCTCAGAAATTACTACGATGTTGCAGAAATTCCAGTAAGAGAAAGACAACAGTTCTCAGTGGGGTGTCCAAACACCCCACAGTATTAATTACGTTTTTTTTTAAATTTTATAAATATTTATTTAGTTTTTTTTATTTTTAAAATAACTATAATGTGACCACATTTATTATTTATAATATAGATATAATAATCAATGTGAATAAAAATAATTTAAGTTTATTTTAATTCAAAATGGCTGACTTTCATAAACACATTGAGAAAATACCAAACATAGCAAGTTGCTTGTCATTTGCACTGAGTGCCAAAGTACAATGTCAGCTATTGAATCAGAGTGACAAAAATGCTTAAAAAACAATTTAGATTTTTACTATTGGTTTAATAATAAGATCTAATGTAATGAGTTTTGATAAATGTTGTTTTTTATTTTCATGGATTTATGTTCTAATATAATATGTAATCATACCTAAATATAATCACATGTATAATGACACATGCCTTTACCAAATAAATGAGTAAATCTTTATGAATTTTTACTTACATGGTTTATGGACCCAAAAAAAAAGTCGGGGTGGAGAAACACCCCACTGCATTAATGCTGAAAAAAAACTCAGTGCACTAATGCAGGATGGTTGTAATATCAACTTATAGCAAAGTATGAAAATGGTAAACATGTAGTGGATAGAGTGATCATTTTTAGATGCTAGAACCCATTTTTATGATGCAAGTTGGTCAATTCTTATTTTTCTCCTCATTATTATGCACTATCTTGCTGTTGTTTTTAGTAACTTCATATGCTGTTACCAAGTTTGTTATAACAACTTGGAATTGTTTTTGTCTGTGGAATAATTGAAACTGTTGTCAATTTTACAAAGCTTTGTGACTATGTATGGTGCCTACAATAAAGATAGTCATGTTTATATATTTCGTGTGTATGTGAATTTTGTCCTTATGTGGCAAAGATTCTATTTTTGTTCTTTAGTTTCTACCTACTGTCTGTTTCAGAAAATCCATATATTCCTCCAAAAGTAATTATTAGAGAAATAAATAATCATTGCTGCTTTGTGTAACCTGCTAGTCGATCATCTTGTCATGTTCCAAGCAAAAATATTATTCATTTTATTCAGTCACTTGTAAATAAATATAGAGAAATCATTTCTTCATTTATCTAACTGAAGAGTTAACCAAACCATGGATGAAAAAAGAGACTAGAATCAAACACCTTGCAAACACAATTGCAGCTCTCCACAGAAAACGTTTTACAGAAAAATCCTGCCATTCCCAGAGAGAATCTAACATCTAAAAAGCAAAATTGCAATTTATCACATCTACTATTTTACTACTATAAATTGCAGCCAGTGCAATCACATACACTTCAAGAAATATCATGCAAATCAATGTGTTAATTACTATAAATAAATTTTATAATCATAATTCTGTGTATGAAATTATATCAAAACTAGTATATTTTTGTATTTGTCGTATTTGTTATATTACATCAGTCAGTATTACTGTCAACAAAATAAAGTTGTATAATTTGTCTGTATTCCTATACTAATGATTTATGCTTTGTGATCTAGGATTAAGTTGCTAAACCAGTAAATGCAATTTTCATTTTATTATACAGTATTTACATATTTTATTTATTGTTTTCTTGTTTTAATTTATTATTAAAGTATTTAATTATGTCATTTTTCCTTAAATTATGTGTATTTGCTGTTTTAAATTTACCAAAATGAGTATTGTTTATGGTCTGGGAATGGATTAATCCAGTTTCCATTATTTGTAATAGGAAAAACTGATTTGTATTTCAAATGGCTTCCTGGAATGAATTAAATTTGAAGTAAGAGGAACCACTGTATTAGTGTTAATTACATATTATATTAATATTTAAAATTATTAAAATATACTGATAGTTATTATGAAGTTTTTTATAACAAAGTAACAATTATCATTTTTTTTAAACTGAATATAATTCAATTTGAAATTTTACACAAAAGTTTAAAGTCACACATAGAATAGATATGTAATTGATATTTAAATAAAATTTAGTGGTCATTAAAATTTATCACAATTTAATCAATAATATATAATGTTGATTTATTTAAATACACAACTTTTAGCAATTTTATTGTTTAATATGTAATATTAAAATATGTCATAATCTTATGGTTAAAACTGTATTTTTAAGTTAGAAAATAATCTTTTAAATTTCATTTTATGTAATTAAGCGATTTATATTTTAATACTTTTGTCAATAACTTACCAATCAGTGGTTCAATATCATCAATTACATCGTATCTTTCAATCTGTTTAAGCATTTCTAATAAATTTCCTATAGTACTATTTGGTAGCAATTCCCATTCTTCAATAAGTTTTTTGGTTGGATTTCCAGTAGCTTCAAAACTTCTAATTGTCATATAATCAAACTCCATAAGTTCTGCCAGTCCACGATAGTCTTTGCACAGGAATCTTTCTGTGGGTATCTCCATTGGAGGATTAAGTAACTTGTATAACAAATTTCTGCTGGAAACATTTAATACTTTTGCAGGAATATTGTTGTAATTGTACTCTGCTCCTGCCATCTTCAATGTATTTCACTGTAACATTAAGATAATATAAGTGACAATAATGCATTTGTTTAAAAATATTTTATTAAAGTAGCACAATAATTATAACTGACTGAAGTCTTATTAGTTTTGTTAATTTATATTTTGTTTGACATATTGTTGAAAAAATTTAATATAGATTCCAATATATTAAAAAATTATTTGAAAAACAAAAAGAAAAGTTTAAGCAGATGCCAAAGTACAATGCCA